TGCTCCAGGTGTTTGTGGACAGCTGCAACTGAGAGAAGCAGGGTGAGGAGCACCAGTGGTATGAAGACAGAATAGAAGGTCCATACTGCTGCAAGGACTTTGGCACCAAAATAAACACAGCTCTGACTGTAGTGCTCAGCAGCCTGGGTCAACCCTCCTCTCTGGGGACCAGGAGACTTCTGACCTAGCTCTAATGCAAAGGGAAAAAGTAAATCCCACCAGCTCTATGTGTCTGTGATCAATGACTCTTATACAGGCACAACCAGCATTCAGTGAATATCACCAGTCATGGAACTATCCGGGCTCAAATGTCATAATGTTCAGCAAACTTGCCAGGCCAGCCTGTCCCCATGCATACAATCTCCTCCTCCCATATATATTCTCTGCATGAAACCATCCCCTCTGCTCCCCTAGCAGATGAATTTTCAGGGGTTAAGTTACCTCAGAGGCAATGAATCCAAGGGACAGAAGCACCATCCCTGCACCAAAGTGGGAAGTCCTGTGCGCCCAAACCAGTTCCTGCCTACCCAGAGCCCCTGCCCTGTTCCTGGAAATAGCTGCTTTAAGCAGCCTGAAAACAGGCTGTGTCAATGTGGGGCTGCCTTTCTGTTTTATACCTGGCTGCAAACCCCAGGTTTTTTTCTACTTAAAAATTCCATAAAGACCAACATGTCCTGAGAAGAGCATGTTTTCAAGACCACATCAGCCCAAATAACACTCACAGCATCATATCAAAAGCCCTGGCAGTTCAAGATGGGCCTGCTGCCTCAGTGCCCCAGCTGCAGTGGCCAGGTACCCCAGAGGCCAGTCCTGCCAGCCAGCTCCCTGCTCCCACTGCACTGCCCACACACCGGGGCCAGCCACTTCCAAAGCCTTGACCACCCAGAGCTGAGAATGAGGACAGGAGGAAACCAAGGACTATTGCCACAGGGTAGTGTGAAAAATCAAACTGCTTCCATGCTAGGGTAAGTTTTGTGGTAAAACATAAGCTCTTTACAGCAAGCAGGAACTCATCAACTGCATCCCTCATTTCTCTTGAAATCTAGCCCTGCTGCATAACTCCCACGGAATCCAATATCTGTCTTCTTAAACAGGGGGGTGGGATAACAAACTCAGCAGTTTTGCTTAAGTGCTGGCAATAACCTCTGTCCTAGAACGAGCAGCCAAAGAACTGACTCTTATTGCTATGCTTCAGGATCAGATTTCTTAAAAAACACAAATACATATATGTGGGATTTTTTTCAATAAAGACCTGAACATTTAGCATACAACTCCATGAACTGTAATGCAAGTTTAACTGTTGCATTTGTTATGTAGGAACTAGTTCAGTGGGTTGGATTTGTTCCTATTATTTGTAAAAGTAGCAGAGATAATGTAATTCCAAATTATTATCTTATAAAAAGAACAAGTAAAACCAAAACACAGCAGCTGAATGGGGTGATATTGAAGTGATGAATTAATGCTATCAAAGTGCTTTAGGATCCCCTCCACAAATTCGGGATTTTAAACTGCTAAAGGCCGTGCACAACCGCAACTTCAGGTTGTGCCAAGCTGCCTCATGAGGCACAGACTGCCATTGGCTTGGCTCTCCTGCTATAAATTACTGGCATTGGAAACCAAAAAGCTGAATGCTGAAGTCAGAGCACATTTTACAAGTGTCAGAAAAAGGAAGAAAGAATCAAGTTAGTCCAAGCTTCGTTCTCCATTTGAGGCAGCCCTGCCTGCATCTCCAGAGTGTGATATCTAAGTGGTATCACACAATCAGATGTGTATGACACTGGCTGACTGCCAGGAAAAAGCCAAGGACTGGTTCCTGCCAGGGATGAACTCTGCCTGCTTTCACTGCCCAGTAGCTTCCCTTGCGTTCCTTTTCCCCTTCCTCCCCAGCCAATGGAGCTGCCCCCGAGGTGAAGCCACAACCCCATGTTTGTGGGACCACAGCCCGTTGTATTGGAAATGAGGACTCAGCTGCAGAACCATACAGCAGGAAGGACCAAGTGTCTGGGGCTTGGCACCACGTGCTCCTGCCTGTGTGACTGCACAGGAGGGTGAAAATGCAGGGTCTCTGCATGGCTGAGCAGTGAGGAGGAACATGGAGGAGGCTTTCACAGGCTTCTCGTTGACCTTCCCAGGCACCAGGCACAAAGTGTAAGGCTCCTTCCCTGCTCCTCAAAGCCCTGCTGCCTCTGCAGATGTCCAGTATTGCAGCTCTCCAGTACCTGCTCATGCATCACCAGCCTTCCATGAACATCCTGGCCACAGGAATTCAGAGGGTGTTGTCTGTGACCTACAGAGAAACTCTCTTTTTACTTCATGACAGTAAAGTGAACATAGTAATCCACTCTGGCTAAACAAATGGCATGACAGCTCACAAAGAAAACTACAGGACACTTCAGAAGGGTAGAGTCCACACTGGCTATTCCTGATTAAAACGTGCACCGAGTTAAATCAGTCCTGTTAAAAACGGTCTCTGCGAATAGCCCAGACCAGCACTGAATCTGGCCCCATAGTGTTGTTCCTCCAAATCTTAAGTGTTGTGCAACAACGACTCTTGCTGCAGCAGAACTCAGCAGCAGGGTAAGAGACAGGGAAACAGACCTCCTGCTTTGAGCAAAGAGCACCTGAAGGGCACGTCTCTTGTTCCCACCAGCCCACAGAGGCAGCTCCCCATAGCCATGGCCTCCACAGTAGTCCCCCTGGCCTCTACCCTAATGACTGTCACTCTCTGTCCCTAAATCCACTGGCAAAGCCCAAACTCCCACTGACACAGCAAAGGCACAGCTCCCATCTTCTCTGAGCTATATCCCCACCATGGCTTCAATGCGCCCCAATACACAGCCCAGGTTTTGTCCTTCCAATAGACTTTGTGACAAAGCAAAACAGGGTTGGACCATGTGCCTGGGTCTGTAATATGCTGTCCAGTTGCATGACACCTCGTGTTATCACCAGGCATTTATCCACTGCAGATGTCTCCCTGTAGAAGCGTTGGTGCTTTGATTGTAATTAATGTCATTCTAGGAGAAAATAGCAACGAAAAAAGAAAAAAGGTGTGCTGGTCTGTTGCACTTCCAATAAACTGTTCACTGCAAAAATTAGAAGATAGATCTCTGTCTGTTGCCCTGGGTGCAGGCAAGTCTCTTACTTTCAGCTTCTCTAATAAACAAGTTACTTGGGCAAGAGTAGATGACTTGAGCTCTCACTGTTTCTTAATCTGTGAAATTATTCAAAGTTCAATTTGCCTTGACAAAAGTGCCTTTGTGTGCCCTGAGTCTGCAGAGTCCAACACAGGCAAACTCCCCGTGGCTATGCAGGCAATGGGACTCAGTGTGCACAGTTCATTTCCCATCACTCTGTCCTATTATAATCACCCCAAAGCTTGAAAGCCACAGTACCAAGTCATACAATTCCTTCTAGCCATGCACACACAAAAATGCACGTATGAAATTGCCCACCCTCCTATGCAGCATGTGCAGATAAAAGGGGTTTGGTTCCTGATGCTTATCGGCTGAAGGCCTCACAGGAAGAAACCTAGTGGCAGAAATCACCAGGAAGAGAGGAATTGCTGAAGGAAATCCTCAGCAACAAAACACCGGAGATAAGGGTCTACATAAGACCTTAAAAGGGAACAAGTCTCTTTTTGAATTTTTGGCACAGCTAATAAAGAAAAGCTCACAGCAAAGCATGCAGACAGGCTGTCGGGAGCTTCAGTTCCTTTTCCAACAAGCAGCAGCATAAAATTGTTAATGAAGTGGTCAGTTCTGCAGCTGCTACTTAAACCACGTGGACAAGGTTGGTACTGACAGGAATCATGTTAATTTTGTTCCTGACTCTGTAAAACAGCTGTAACGGAGCAAAGCTCAAGAACATGAACTGAGAGGCGTTCCAGTAAGAAGGCAAAAAGCAGAGGCTGAAGAAATTAAAGTGCAATGAAGAAAGCTCAAATTTAGCATTGCCTAGCTAGACATTCCTACACAAGACAGTGGACACTTAGGACAGCCTGATGCTTCTCCCCAAAACCGAGACAGCTCAAGTCACCACAGCTCACTGCCATGCTTCCACTAGGCTCAAACTGGTGAGATTAGGCTCCAGATCACAAATGTCTGCTGTTTATCAGAGTTTGCACTCCAGACCCAAGTGGAGTTTTCTGCAGAACCTGAAGGCAACCACTCCACCTCTCTGTGCTAAGATGCAGGTGATTTTTTTATTCCATCTTCAAAAATGGGGAGGGGGTAAAGGGGTTTGCCTCTGTTCACCATTAAAAAAGAGTGACCTTAAGACAGCTATTAAAAAGTTCAGCCCCTAACAAACTTATTGACCAACAACGGCAAATAGCTTTACTTGTCTGATACAAAAATGAGCCACAGGACCACTAAAATCCTAACCAAGATGTTCACTCAACACTATTAACTTAAGCATCTTCCTGTCCAACTGCCCAAGTGCAAATAGGACCAAAACCAGCACAGCAAGCCACCTCACCCTCCAGCAGGACTACACTGTGGAGCTGGATGGATAAGTTTATCACTTTCACTTTGATGTAAGTTGAGAAACTTTGCGCCTAGTGATACCTTCACCACTGCCACTTCAGATCCATGTGCCGCCCCCCGCTGCTGGAGTGGTACTTCTAGTTTGTGCCCATGAGAGACAAGGATCTGCCTGCTTTGGCGTAACAGCTCCGAAATCCCCACTGGTTTTGTTTTTTTTCCATGTTCGGTGGCGCGGGAGCAGGTATTCTTTCATGCAAGTATAAAGGAGCTCCCGCAGCAGAGCGAGCCGGCGGTTCTGACTCCGCCGGTGCCGAGGTGACACCGCCGACACCGCGCTCGCGCACCGGGCACGGCCGCGGCGCTGCTGCGGGGCGGAGGAGTCACGGCAGCAGCACCGGCGGCTCCTCCAGGGCCAGCCCCGGGGGCGAGCGGCGGCCGGACCCACCCGCGGCCCCGCGGCGCCCCCGAGACCCCGCCCAGCCCCCGGCCCAGCCCCGCCGCGCCCCCGGCTCCTACCCTGTCGTCCGGAGGGACTGGGTCCTGGAGCCGCTCTTCGCCGGAGGCGGCGCGGAGGTCGTCGGTGGTCGGACCGGGGCCAGGGACCGCGCCGGGCGGAGGGTCGGGGTCGGGGCCGGGGCGGGCGGGCGGCGGGGCGCGGCGCTGCCCAACGCGCAGTGCCCCAAAGTCGAGGGTCTTGCTCTCGAAGGCGCCCTCGACGCTGCAGAAGAGCCCCCCGCGCTTCTGACGAGGCACCGCCGCCGGGCCGGGCCGCGCCAGGTACACCGGCAGCTCGTCGTCGTCTCGCCGCCCGTTCGCCGCCATCCCCGCTGCGCCGCCAGGACGGCGCGGACGGGGCGGGACGGGGCGGGACTGGGCCGCGGCCTCGGGGCGGGGCGGACCCGACGTGAGGCTGAGCGGCGGTGGGACCTGGGCGGGTGGCGCTCGGCCGGAGCCGGAGGCGCCTGCTTCGCCGTCCTCCGGGCTGGATGCTGCCGTCCGGGTCGGCGCGGGGAGCTGCCAGCGGCCTTCCCGGGACACTCCGGCCGTGAGGACGGAGCGGACACACGGGAGCGCCTCGCTGCTGGCCGTGCGGGGCGCTCGGCGGGTGGGCTGTGCCCGGACGCACCGGCAACAGCCCCGAGAGCCGCGTGTCCGTTTTGCCCCACCGGTACGCGGTGCAGCCCCCAAACCAGCGTTGGCTCACGAGCCCGGGGCCGTACCTCGTTCTGCTCGGGCCGTGGTCCCCGCAGAGGCGCTGCGGTTAGGTGGACGCTACAGCCGGACATCGGCAATGTCCCCTGCACAAAGGCTTCGCCGCGCCCAAACGCAAGCACAGCTGTTCCTGACTGGCCGCGCAAACAAGCTCCGTGTGTTGGCTAGTTTAAGGTGTTGCTTTGAGAGCTCCATTGCAACTTCATTTCAAAAGTACTGTAGGCCCGAAGGACAGACAGCCGAGACTGCGTCTTACAAATGCTAACGGCTACCAGTAGTAGTAGCAGCTTGTGAAATCTATCGTGAGCACCAGAACTGGAGCTTTGACTAAAATCGTTTTGCTCGTTTCTTTATCTAGAACAAGTGTACATGGTACCTGGGCTCTAAATCCTGTCGAGTGATTTCTCATGCCACATTTTTGTGTTATGAGATGTTGTCAGTCATGCTTTTTTCAACCTTTTCTGCAGAACAAAACAGTGCCATTATCTCTGCCAGTCCTCCGAGGTTGGGTGGTTCTTAAAGAAAATCCACATGGAGCCTGGCCCATCATGGCGAAAAATGACCCTGTGATTAAGCCTGAAGAGGCAGTCTGGGGGCACTGGCTGACTGAGGCTTGAGGCTATGTGGGAGGAAATGGTTTGGGATCATTTCCCTCCTTTTGCCCGGTGGGAAACAGTCTGCTTTTGTAACTGGACTTGTACCAGTGTCATTAACTGAGTCTGTTTTTTCTCCATCTAGGTGGAATAATCGACAGTAACTTGAATTTTTGACTAATTATTCAGGTATAAAGGGTTAGGAGAAGAGAGGATGCACTAAATACAAACTGAGTGTGTCTGCAATCTTGAAAGAGTCACTTTAAAAGCCTTGTGTTTCACAGCACAGTGAAATACTGGTCAGTGTCTGCCCTTACTTTCTCTAAAGCAGCGCCAGAGTGGGTTGCAGTTGGTTGTTCTTGGGCTCTTACATGAATTTTAATATGCAGCTGCCCCATCCCTGTGGCTTCATGATGCTCAGCACCATGAGTGTCAGGCCTGCACCAGACCCCTGTTGCCACTTGACCAGAATTTGCCAGGAGAAGAGCTCAGTGCTGTCACATTTCAGGTGCAGGTGCAGCAGCAGTGACTGGCAGCTAGGGAAGGAAGTATTCCTTCAAATAGCCAGAACACATTTGTTCTGGAGTTTTTTTCTACTCCTTTTCTCCTGACAAATGCTTTTCCTCTGCAACCAGATGCTTAGCAGGAAGACCACCAGTACTGGCCAAGCAAATGCACACAAAGTGGCTGCTCACCAGGTCTTTACCTTCCTAAGGCACTGCCTTAGCATAAAGGAATTTGTCCTCCTCCTCCTGCAAGTGGGATCCACTGAGTAGAAAATGAAACCCCCTCTCAGACTTCTGCCCCCAGTGAGTGGGATGTGCTGATCTTGGAGTTGGTGGCTGGCATGCTTCACACAGCGAGCTGGGCCCCTGCCTCCTCGGGGCCAAGAAATAGCACATGAGGAGTGAGCCTCTCCCGGGAGGAACAGCACGCCCCTGCACTGCAGCCTGCCCTGTGCCTGTGTGCACTAACCACAGTGGAGTTAGAGTGAACCCCTTGTTTTGGCTGGGACATCTCCATATGCAACTTTATGGGGAATTAAAATTCTCTGGAACAAGGCCTGGCCTTTGTCTGATTCTGCAAGCATGCAAAAGTTTCAGCATTGTACTTTAAAAGCAATATTTATTTAAATCCCGATTCCATTGTTTATCTCTCCTAGTGCCTTGCTGCACAGAGGGTTGGACTGAAATTATCTGCACCAGAAAAGGAGTACAGGGCTCTCCTGGGAAGTGAAGGCTTTAAAATCTGACTTTTAATGAAAATCATTCACTGTATAAAAGATGGTTCTTGATTTTTACTTTTCAAATTGCCATTCACTTTTAAGATATTTTTTGTTAGGTGTTGTAAAGCTACTAGTTCAAGAATACCATGAAAATTGAAGTTTGTGTTCAGTGTGTGTTCACTGCACAGTTGCTGTTGAGCCCAGCAGAAGGCATTATTTATATTTCTGTATATGTATATCTTGGATCAGATGTGAAGCTTTTAATTATACAATGACAAAATGTCTGTCCCCTGTAGTTAAGTAAATTTTCTTTTCTTTAAATCACATGTTTATATGCTCATGGACAAAAATGTTTGTCAGGCAAACAGTCATGAGTGGTGCAACTTCAAACCCTGCTGGCAAACCAGCTCTCCTCTTGCTTCTCTGTACAAAGTAGATTGAAGATAGAGATCAGGGAGAGGATCCAGTGGGAAGGCTGTTTCCCCTGCCTGAGCCCAGGGAGAATGGAGTTCATAGGTATGTGAGCTCATGTGCTTTGTGCTGCTGCAGGACACACCAGAGCCAACTGTCTGTCCTGCAAGGGTTTCCTTGGCTAGAGGCTGGGTTCACATCCTGACCCCAGAACAGGAGTGCTAGTCCTCTTGGGTCAGGAATCTGAGCTGAGCCCGCCAGGTGGTTGTATTGTGAAGGAATAGAAATAGGCTGCTCTTCTGATCTAGGGAACAGCATTTATTTTATGGGAAGTTCTGTAGTGGCAAGCTTCTAATTCATGTCTTTCTAGTTCTAGAGTAAGAGCTGTTTAAGGCACACCGAGAAATGGAAATCAGTCACGTTACAAAGCGAGCCGCAATGGTTATGAATGGGGGAATGGTGCAGCCTTCTGGGAAATGGTCTTTAAGCAAATCCCTTTCTGCAAAAGGATTAGTTAATAAGATGGGACATAGTCACCCTGTCTGGGGTATGCATTTTCTTGTTCTGTGCTCTCAGAACCCCAGTGCTGATTTTATTTGTCCTCATTGGCTGCTGTCAGAGCACCGGCTGTGTTCCTGTCAGTCTGTGCTGGGAATTGCAGTGACAACCCAAGCCTCAGAGTATCCAGTGAGAGGCACAATGTGTCGTGTAACTTTCTCAAGCATTTTCTTCATGAGGCTGTGAAACTTATTGTTATCTTTTAAATGTCTGAAGAGGAATTTAAATTGACAAATAAATCATTCAAGTAGCAAAGCTGTTGACAGAGAAGTCAAATTAGGTCATCTTGTCTGCCACTGCCAAGGCACAATACCTCTGATGGGTGTTTTCTGATATTTTTGCTAGTTTATTTTCATTTGTCAGGGCAGTGGGCAGATTCTTAATTCGAAAAAATCTACATCTTCTGCTGGCAAACTTCTGTGCTGGTTCCCAGGTCCCAGATGCTTTGTACAACATCATTCTATCTGTAATAAAAACAGAAAATGGTTTAAAAGAGTGAAGCATGTCCCGGATTGTGACATAATGCTGCCTGTATCACTGGAAGTTGCTCATTACACCAGGAAGCATCTCGGGCTCCATAGCTGTGACTACAATGCTCATTAGACTCAGAGAATATTGTGTTATTTGAAGGAAATAGACTGTTGACATTAAGTGGGATTTGACCTCTTCCTTCACCAATGCTGACAAGCCTGAGCCGTGTCCTGAGTGAGGACATTTCCTTCCTTGATGTCAGATCCATACAGAATGGTTTTATACTGATTTTCCTGTGGGTCTGGAGGCAGCAGATCTTTGATTGCATGTGAAAATGATGTGATGTAACGACTGCATAACACTGTAAGCAGGATAAATGCACATCAGCTTTCATAGCTTATTTTCTTTGAAGGTCTGTGAGTTCAGCTGGAGAAGCAGCAGGACAGTGATAGTAGCAGGTTAACACTGATTTCTTCTGATTCCTACAGGATTTGATAAAACTGCATCCCTTTATTACATTCATCATAAGTTGCAATCAAGTCCTAGTTGTCTTGTTTCATGCAAAGTTAGGGCTGCCTTCTCATATTCTGCAGTCATGATTTACAAGTGTGTCCTGTTTTTGGAGGCTGCCAGATAAAGAGAGTTGTTCTATCATTCTTGCAGCCATGTCAGGACAGCCCCTAGCACTGCCTTTCATGTGCCTCAGGGAAAGTCTGGGTAAGTACAAATGCAGAAGAAACTGTGAAAGAGCCAAGAAAATCTGATTGTCCCACTTACATTTAGAAGCAGAGGTCAGAGATGGGTGTTTTGTTCACCCTGAAACGGCATGTTTATGAAGGGCAAGTGACTGTTGAGCCTGCTGTCTCAATCAGCTAGGGAGGAGCAGTGCCTAATGCCTCCAGCACCACACTCCAGTTTCTAAACTTTCAGACATAGGCGTGTTAGAAGATGAGACAGACCTTTCTGATCCTCCAGGCTGCTCTGCATATCAGCTCCTGGGAAACTGCTGTGTGCAGGGTGTTGTCCTTGGTGAAATCCTTTACCAAAGCCAAACCACTGCAGAGTCAGAAAGGCAAAGCATTTGACTCTGTCAAAACCTTGTTCGGTATTTGATGCCAAAACCACAGGGAGAGTGAGTTAATAGTGTGGTAAATTCTACTGCAGAATGCTATTGTATTGTTGGAGGGAGTAACTTCAAGCACCATACACAGCCTGACTTCAGCATGCTGTCAGTCTGTCATACTAACAGAGACCACAAATCTGATAAACAGCTGGAAGTTATAATCTTCTGTGCTTGGTTATTCCAAGAATATTTCTGAAATGCAGTAATGCTTTTTGTTCCTAGATTTTTT